CCCTTTCCTACTTTAATTACCCATTATCTGTGAATGATTAAACAGCTCTAAAAGACAAACATATTAAAGCATCCTTGCCAGGATTCACCATAGGCAGAAATACCAAAAGGCTCCATACAGTGTGGCTGGAGGAATCTCCCACTGTGACTATTTATTTTGAAAACCAGACCCACCAGCTGTCAAAATACCCACACAGTGCCTGCATCTGGCTGGATGCAGACATATTAAGCCAACAATTTCCTATCCTGTGCCTTTTGTTTTAATCGAGAGATGTTGGACAAGTGGTGGCTGACTAGACCACCTACTGAGCAGATTTTAAAATGCATGCATGGCCAGCTAGCTGTAGTGCGTATAGGTCGAGAGACAATGGTCTGCATTTTAGGCATGTCAAGTGTAAATACATCCTAATGTGTCATGTAAAATTGCTTCTTACCCAATTCAAACAGAGCAAGAGGGGTTTTGAAGAACCCAGAGAGCCTAGACTGTCTCCCCCGGACCCAACTGAAGCCAATGGAGCACTACTTGCATATAGCAGGCTGCTACAGGATTTCTGGATGGAGACACAGCTCATTACAAACTTGATATGGTTTACACCACATTCTTTAATTTGGACATCTAAACATCATTACATCTGATATGGCGATGTAAATAGCAGCAAGTTTCCGTTATGTTACAACATACTATGGGCCTGAGGTCTACCAAGATGGAGTTTCAATAAACCAGACAGCAACTAAGCCTAGCAGGGTGTCAAAACACAAATTCATCTGTTATAGTGCCCCTGCCTGGCACAAATGAAAAATGATTTTGACAGAGCCAGAACTACCCGCTGTATGTGGAAAACTTATTAGGTATCATTACTAACCAAAAATGGAAGAATGACAGGTCACATTGTCAGACCACTTGATGTGGTGTCTTGATATTGGAAAAAAAAAAAAAAAAAAAAAAAAAAAACAAAAACACAAAAACATGCAATTTTTACTTAAATATAGCACCAAATATATTCACTGACACTAAAGTCATGAAGTTTCTCTTTGCACTCTGCATAGCTTTGTGATCTAATAGACTGGGATCATATGGTTAAATCACCTCAGAGAAATTAGCATTTAAATGTAAGCTCCAAGAAGCAGGGACCTCGAACCCTCATGTATTGTATTGAATTGTAGTGTTACTGTACTGTCTCCTATAATGTACAGCGCTGAGCAAACTGTAAAATAATGTCCCACCCAAAGGCTAAACCACGATTAGGAGTTACTCTTCGATTGTAAGCTCCAAGGAGCAGGGCCCTCCTAACCCGCTTGTATTAAACTGTATTGTCTCCAGTTATATTGTAAAGCGCTGTGCAAACTGTTGGCGCTATATAAATCCTGTATAGTAAGTTCATCAACCATCTCCATCCTCCGGCAGATGCTGCATTATGCAGACCAGCAAACTTTAATTCACCCCAGAAGCTTTCTGTATAAGAGCAACAGAACCTCAGATACTATATGTGCCACAACCATTACAAGGCTCTACTCCCCCAACCTAGATACACAAGAATGCAGACCACAAAAACTCAAGCTGGTAGGAACACAGCCCAGAGCCATGGGAAGGTCTTGCCACTGTAGTCCTAGAGCTGAAACTGAACCTGCAGGTGCTGTCACCAAGACTAATCTAAGATTAAAATGAACCTTTGAGGCGTGGCAGTAATTGTTGAATATTGGTCTTCTGGATGCTGCACTATTTACAGGTAGGGATACCACTTACCAAGAATCCCTACACAAATGGCATACTACACCGAGACAAATCTGCTCAAGCTGATCTTCACAAAAAAGGTAAAATCTTTCAAAAATGCACGGTAACCACCTGAAAGACAAAAAAAAAAAAAAATTTACAAGTTGCAGGCATATTCTACATACAATCCAGGAAAATAAAGACTTACAGGAAATCTTTCAAGAGAAAGAGGCGGCCAATATGGTTTACTACTCGAGAATTGCCTTTCTTTGCATAAGATACATTTGAAAGTCAATTTAACAGAACAGATTTGTTATGCAGGGGTACCTGCCTGTGTTCTATTTCTGCATCAAATGCCCCATTTCTAATCTCTAATAATGAAAGCTGGACTAGCCCTTTTCTGTGCTAAATATTTAATACAAAGATGTAGTATCTATTCCTAAAGCCGTCAACAAAAAGCAAAAAAGGCTAAATGCCTAGCTGACATTCTGAGCATGTGCTCTGCTGCAGAAAGGAAGATATGATTTTGCTAATCTGCAGACTTGTTTGAGATCTGATAACAGCTAAGCAAATCTTTTTTTTTTTTTTAAAGATCAGTAGTGGGCACACCCTCATTTCTCAGGAAATAGTTACTTTAGAAAAGCTCTACTCTTGGTTTAATGGTGCAGCCTTAATCAGTGACAGCAGAACATTTATAGGGTCAGACAGCTCCTACCTCCGCATGATTTAAATACTAAGTCTTTTACCATGTCATACATAATTGCTATGTGCAATGGTGTTGCAGAGCAGGCCCGATCCTCTGCTTCTTGGGTCCCTCACTGGCACTCCTGGCCCCTCCCTCCTGTCCGGTGCCCCCCAGAGCAAGCAGCTTACTATGGGGGGGCACACTCAAGCCGCAGCTCTACGCATCCATTCACATCCTGACCCGATTGACAGCAGCAGAAGCCAAATCTGGAGCGAGTCCCCGAGAGCCAAGGCTCTGGTGGACATCGCTGGATTGGGACAGAGCCAAGTGGTGGGAGGGGGGCCTTTAGAACACTGTTCTGCTGCAGGGAGGTAAACTCTCAAAGGTAGAGAAAGATTAAGGTTTGCTTAAACCCAACCAACATCTTTGGCATAAGACAGCATAGCTAAAAAAGGAGGCACGATGCCCTTACCACCTCTGTTGTGTACTGCCAGTGCACATACAAGTAAATAAGATGTCACTGAAAGGAACATCTGCACACTATTAACACATGACAGTAGATTCAAAATAGAACATGTCCATCAGTAGCTCAAGCATCTGGTGTCACTGTTTATTTGGGCCCTGGGTAGACATACAGCAATTACTACTTTTAATACATAGGCAACTGCTAGTGCAAGATAGCAGGATCTCATCACTCCACTACAGCTGGAAGCCTCAAACTCTAAACTAACTAATGGAGACACAAAAGTTGCAACAAAGCTGTGTTGCAAGTTCACAAACCCCACTAAAATTGCTTAAAAATATTTCTGAAGGACCAGCACAAAGTTCTACCCAAACCTACCTGATCTTTTGGATTAGAATATCCTTGAAGCTTGCTCAGAAAGGAGAATAGAATCCTGCAGCTCAAAACTGAAACAAGCAGGAAAACCTCAACCTGTAATAAAACAATTTACATGAGGAAATGTTCGAACAAATATCCCTGCCACCCCTCCTCCCCACCCTGTGACTTTTTACAATATCCGGAGGCATTTGTTTGGAAAGGAACATTGGGATGACTTTTGGCATGTTTCCACTGTGCACTGCCATGGTTAGATTAGTTACTTTGTAGGTCTCCAGTATTTTTTTTTTTTTTTTTTTTTGAGAGTTGGTATGTGTCATTGGAAGTGTGCATGTGGCAATAGGCTGCTTCTGTTCAACGTTAACCATCTACAAAGTGTGCTTTGGTTTGTTTGAACTTCCGGAGGCTAGAGACGACATTGTCTGCCAGAGAGAATTTCACCCAATTAAAGTGAATCTGTTACATGTGAAATTCTTAGTACTGAACACCATACTGAACTTTTTCCTTTGTAAAGGTTTTGCCATTCCTGCATATGCAGCAATCTTGGCCCCTTCTATTAAGTCTCTGACTCTAGCAGAAAGCTGCAGAGCCTTGAACTCAACAGTGCTTTGTACCTGCATGTTACAGATTGAAAGTGGACACACCCAGACTGAATTTGGTATTCTACTGCAACATTAATCCAGACACATTGAAAAGACTTGATTGACACCTGTTACTTTATATAGTGAACTCCTGCATGTCCAAGTGCTTGTCTTTGGGACAGATTGCCTTTAAATGTGAAAACACTACTGCCAAGTGCAAGGTATCCACCGTTTCCATATAACTGGTTAAGTGTTTGTTTTGTTTTAAATCCAAGTATAATATTTTGAACTAGTTATCCAGCAGTGCCTTTCCAGGTTTTCATTATGTTCCAAAACTTAAGAATTGTGCACTGAGAGAAATATGCAGTGCAATTTTGACTTAGACTGAAAAAATAAAAACAAAAAACTAGTTGACTTTGCTTACCCTTATTGCAGTTTCACTGGATTTTGGTGGTTTTTAGATTGATTCACTTGTTTTTGGCTGCCTTGGTCTTTGGGCAGAGACATCGTTTGGTTCTTCGTTAGCCTTTAGACTCTTTTCCTTTAAAAGTGACACTACAGATTTGCAAATACATTGAAACAGTAACAGCACATATGGTTTGCTAGTTTCTTTGAAAGATGGACTACTTTGGTCAACAGCAGTTTTATCAGGTTTTTAATTCATAACTTGGGCGTGGATCCTTGTTTGACAACAACTGCAGGCTAGTTGAATACACATCCAGGATTAGTGTATTTTAAACCATATGATCCGTAACAAACATTTGATATATATATAGTTTTGGAGACTCAGGATTGTTTTGTCTCATGGGCACACTCACAAGTTAAACAGAAGGTGAGCTACTCCTTTTCTCGCAGCATCCATTTAATATTGATGTGTAGAATTATGAAATAAGATGAAATTTTTTTTAGTGAGACTTTACTTTAGAAAAAAGTTACAACACTAATACACAACTTATACTACACATTGTACATTTCAGAGAAAAGCTAACAAAATCTGAAGATTAAGCATTTTAACTTCCTCAAACTGATCATACTTGATGGAGGAGAAAACTTACAGGTTAAAAAAGAAAAGATAAATAAAAACAAAATCAAACTCCTCTTAGTAGTCCGCTGGTGGTAAATGCAGAGCAAACGCCACTTTTACTTGTTACAGAATGTCTTTGGTCCATGGTTAAGTTTTTTGCTTTTAGTATCTGCTTCTGCCACCTCCTCTATCAGATCTGCTTCCGCCTCTGCCGCCACCACGGGGAGCACCCCGACTTGAGCTGCTGTATGAATCACGTGGAGGTGGATAGCCTCTATCCATTGGAGGGGGTAGGCCACGATCTTGACGGCCAACTCTGTCACGTCCACTTGAGTACATATCATTTCTGCTGCTTGAGTAACTGTCTCTGCCTCCGTAGCCATCTCGAGAGCTGCCATAATCGTCATAGCGACTGCTTCCACCATATGATGGAGGGGGCCCTCTTGTAGGTGGGGCACTACGTGAGTTACCTGCAGGGTCAATGGTCAGGCAATAGGGCAATACTATGAGTTACATATTACATTTCAATTTGGATATTTGCAGCTGTATGTTAGGGAATCTAGTGGAAAGGTTTGCATGTAAAACAATCTAGTTGGTTGAAATAATAAAAAAAAATATATATGAATGAGGCACACTTTTAAGCGATCATCTCATTTGAATTAGAACTCCAGAATAGTAGCTTAGATTGTAGTGGGAGATTTTGCCACATGACATCCAAGGAGTTTCATTTGCTTCACTGGCATAGGGTTTTTGGGGGGGCTCCTGAACAGGACACTAAGGTTGCTGTTGATTTGTAATGAATCTTGCTGTAGCACAATTTAACATTACTCCACGTATGGGTGAAAAGAAAATGGACTTTGGCACACAGTATAACTATTAGGATTCTCTGTGTAATGGATTTTTTTTTTTTTTTTTTTTTAATCTTCAGGAGGGGCAAACATGTATCCTGTAAAACAAAAATGAAGTACAAAAGATAACACCTTACCGTAGGGCTCATAGGAGTCTCTGTAAGAACCGCCACTTGGATGATCAGAGTAGTCTCTATCACGTCCCCCATAGCCATCACGATCACTGAACACAGATGGCAAGTTTAGGTTTCACATTCAAGAACAGTGAATCTAAACTAGTTTACTTAATGAGACTATGGACAAAATACAGGTATAAAAAACCCTCCAAAACAAAAACAAACACACACAAAAAAAAAAAAAAAAAAAAAAAACCAAAAACATACCTATAACCTCTTGATCCATAATCATCACGAGAGCTTGAGTGGCCATAATCCCTATAAGCATAATCTCGTGGAGGTGGTGCATAATCTCTTGAATCTCTGGAGCTGCCATAATCTCTGGAATAACTGGAAGACAATTAAAAGTTGCTTAGGTACCACTACCCCTGTGCTCTGTTTTATGTCAGTTATTTATTCGAACTATGAAGTTTCTGAAGTATCAAGAATTCACCATTGTGTTAGCCTCCATTGTTTCCTAGGGGAGGAAGAGCCTTATCCTTAAACCACCTTCAAGTGATTACGAAAAGGCTTTACAATAACGTGTTCTTAACTGCTGTAGGGTCCCCACCGACACTCTGGGCTCCTCCTCCTCCCTTTCGAGTGCCCCCACAGCAAGCTGCTTGCTATGGGGACACTCGTGCAGGCTCAATCCAGAGCCTGTGTCCATAGACACAGACAGCACAGCTCAGCCATGTCTCAGGATTTGATTAATAGAAAGACATTGGCTCAGCAAAGCATTGATAGCTGATAGAAAAAAAGAGCCACTACAGACTGATGCAGTGCTGGATCAAGTGAGGATTCGGGCAAGTATGAGGAAGGGAGTGTTAAAAAAAAAAAAAAAAAAAAAAAAAGTGTTAGTGCTTTCCTTTCAAGTGGTACTAAAGCCTGGAGAGAAAAACCCTCTCCAATGGTTTCACAGCATTAAAGACATGACAGGTAATCTCCTTCCCACACTGTCTAAAAACAAACTCAATGCGATGTGGGACTTAAGTGGTTCTAACACTAGGTATTTCCCCAATGCATTCCCAGCATTAAGGTAAAAAATTGTTTCTCACATTTTGTGGGAGAACAGTAATGGCCTCCAGTTTCAAACTTTGTGACCTTTCAATGCACCCCAACACTACTATAAAGAAAAGCTGGTCTACAAACGTGTGTGAAAAGCTACTAAACTACGTCTTACCTATCGTAGCGATCCTTTGCACTGTAACCATCATCTCTTGGTGACATGTATTCATCTCTGCGTGATGGCACCGAATCTCTGCGGGGTGGCCCACCATAGCTGTCCCTTTCACGTGACAGCGGAGCTACATGCAGAAAGTTAATAGGAGGCAAATTACAAGACTGCAAATACTGATGCAAGTTGCCATTTGTTAATCTTTGCAAAAAACCCTGATTTACCTCGTCCACTCATACCACTGCTGCGGATAGGACCAGAAGGGGCAGATCTTTTAGGTGGAGGGCCACCGCTGCGAGGTGGAGGACCTCTTTTAAGTGGCATTCCGCCTCTTGAAGAACCTAAAGTGTTTAACGATACAAAGAAATAAAAACTACATGCATAGGTGGCAACTGTCACCTGTCCCTAGTAAGAGTTTTAAGTGAATGATAAGAGCTCTATGAATTAGCACCAAGGACTGGAAGACATAAGAACCATACAAGATACTTCTACATGAGGTTTAGGATTAACTTCAAATTACAGGTCAAGTATGACCAGGAAAGCGAGACTCTTCTCCATCTACACCTCCTCCCTTGGTCACTTGATAAACTCCCATGGCTTCAATTACCATCTCTATGCTGATGACACGCAAATCTATCTGTCCACCCGTCACCTCACTCCTTCAGTCTCCACTCGCAACGCTAGCCTACTAAGTGACATATCGGCTTGGATGTCACTCCACTTCCTCAAACTCAACCTTTCCAAAACTGAGCTCCTAGTATTCCCCCCCCCCCCCCCACCCCGTGCCACCTCCACTGACTAACTGACCATAAAATATCGATAATCATCAGTCCATCCCCTCATGCTAGGGTACTGGGTGTAATCCTAGACTCCCATCTGTCCTTCCAGCCCCAGATCCAATCGCTGACAAAATCATGTAGACTTCACCTCCGAAACATCTCCAAGATACGACCGTTCCTAACCCCGGAAACCACTAAGCTACTTAATCACCCCCTTGTCATATCACACCTCGACTACTGTAACTCCCTCATTGGCCTACCTCTTCGCAGGCTATCCCCACACCAGTCTATCATGAACGCTGCTGCCAGACTCATCCACCTTACTAACCGCTCTGTATCTACCACCCCTCTCTGCCAATCCCTCCATTGGCTCCCAGTTGCCCAACGGAAAATATTCAAAACACTAACAATGACATATAAAGCCGTCCACAACACTGCCCCAACTTACGTAACCGATTTTGTCTCTAAATATCACCCAAACCGTACTCTCCGCAAGACCTACTCTCTAGCTCCCTTATCTCCTCCTCCCATGGTCGTCTCCAAGACTTCTCCAGGGCATCACCCATCCTCTTGAACTCCCTACCTCAATCTATCAGACTATAGCCTACTCTTACTTTTAGACGATCACTGATAACCTCTCTTCAGGGAAGCCTATCCTGCCCTCTGCTAATACTGGAATCCTCTACTCTTCCAACCACTCCATCCCCCCCCAGTTATTACCTATTGTACCATTCACCCCTCCCTCCTAGATTGTAAGCTCCAAGGAGCAGGGTCCTCAAAGCCCTCCTATTGAACTGTATTGTCTCCCACTATAATGTAAAGCACTGAGCAAACCGTTGGCGCTATATAAATCCTGTATTATAATAACAGAATGCCTCCAACAGACTAGGTCTAAACAAAAAAAAACGCATGTATATAAATTCATAGAAAAAAAAAAATGTAACCTAAAGTTACAAGCAATACCATAATCACCTCCTCTTGACCCTCTAAGACCTCTTGGAGGGCCACGACTTCTTGGTGGAGGTGGTGGCCCACGCCTACTGCCCGCTCCAAAGGACGGCTTTGTGGCTTGCTCCACCTTGATTGGCTTTCCATCAAGTGCCTATAGCGATAAAACATTGTTCTAGTCAGACAGCAGATTGTGAACCTGTAATCACAGTATGTCTACCAACATAAAGTACACAGCTTGCTTAAAAAAAAAAAAAAAAAAAAAAAGGTTTTGTTCTTCCACGGAGCTATGGAAAAGCCTTTACGCAGATTTTAAATTATTAAAACACAGGTGCTCTGCTGGCAACCACAAATGACAACACCAGCAGAAAAATGTAAGCCACTGTAAGGACCAACATTGCAGCATATAGCAGCAAGTTATACATTAGTATGCAGTCTGGCCAAAGATTGTCTAAAGCTGGTCATACATACTCTCAGCCTGATGCTGTATTCTGACAGCAGAAGATTTCCACACTGTCAGAACACAAATCTGCTGCTGCCAGTTTTTGTCAGCAGTAGTAATTAGACACACAAGCTGGTTTATACTGAATTTGATTAGATACATCTTCAGTATAATCAGACTGACCATGGCTAGATCAAAATTTAGCTGGATCCTGCTAAACTGACTGAATTTTGATCTATGTCCAGCTTTATGCCTTCTGAAAAACAAATCCATCGATCCTCAAATAACTCAACTTGCCCAGGCCAAAAAACTGCATACAATGTCCATCACTTCCTGCCCTCTTAAAAAGGAAGAATCAATGTAAAAAGGCTAGCCTTTTAGAATTAGCTCAATTCCTCCATCCATGCTAAACAGCATGGACTAAGGAATCTCCACTGCTGGTTGCCATAATCAGACATTGCAAGCTTCTGAAAAGTGACTGTTACCATTTATATTCAGTCACCATTTGACCACTTTTTTTTTTTTTTTAAATAAACACACCCAACACCTTCCATTTTTCAAATGGAAAAAGTGTGGAGCCACATGGTGCCGACAGAGCCACCCACAGCTGAAATACAATCTGTTTCCATGGGACAAAATTGAAGTTACATATGGCCAGCACAAGTCTGACATCTTACAAATCCTTTGCATCCATTGCCACAAAGATGGATATAAAACATCTCTATTACGTCCAAACAATTTTACCACCATGCAACTCACCTTTCCATTCAATTCTCTTGCAGCATCCTTGGCATCTGCAGGACTCTCGAATGTGACAAAGGCAAACCCTCTGGATTTATTCGTGTCACGATCTTTCATTAACAGTACTGCAAAGACAAAAAAGGCAATTAAAATAGTTCTATTTCAATAATCAGCAGCACTAGCAAAGCACACAGCATGTAGTGTTCAAAAAGCTCAGAACTTCTTAGAGGACAAATGGGCTCTATCAGCTCAAACCTGATCAACGCCACAAATTCATCATAGCTTGTATTCAACACTGCAGCATGAGACGCTCACCTTCTGATAGACTCACCTTCTGATATACGACCATATTTGCAAAATACTCCTTCCAAAGCCTTCTCTGTTGTCTCAGTGTTCAGGCCACCAATGAACAGTTTTCCAGGACGGTCTGCTTCCAACATTGTTATTTGATCTGTAATTAGAGCAATAAAATTATGAAAAGGTGAAGTTGCTTAATTTGGTTGTAGAACACTATAAAGAAACCCTGCCCACCACCAGTCCCATGACATCCTAGGATACCCACTCCATCGACAATGACCATGTGAACACACTATCAATTCTTTCCAGGCTCCTTTCTTATGGAATGGCATGACAGAACAAAACTCTTCATTGGTCAGCGCGATCTAGCTACTGCTGAGGAATAAGCAGTGTAAGCAATGTACTCCTATACAGCCTACAGCTCTGTTTAGGGACTTAAAATTGACACGTTATACCAGCTAATGTGAAATATGCAATGTAGATGCATATGGTGTGGATTGTAAAGCATAGCCATTCATTCTAAATTGCATTACAACACAACTATGCTACAGCATAAAGTACATTGTAGTGCAAAACAGCGCAAAGGTAATTCTTCCTGTAATGGGGTGCATCTCAAGTCTGCACATGAATGTGTGTTGTGGTAGGCATTGCAGCTGACCTTTGTCCCACAATTTTCCCAGGATAACATTAAAGTGGGCTCTTTGTCAGGAAAAGAGGACGCTGGAACTTTGCATTGAGTTCAGGCTGCATTCACACATGGGAGTTTTGAAATCGCAGGCAGGATTGTCTTGTGGACAGAATCACCGTTTAGTGTGAATGGGGCTTAAACGTCAAGCCTGTTCACACCAGCTGCATTAATCAACAGCACAGAGAAAACAACTGTCTGTGTTCCTCTGTACACGCGTGTTGTACAAGCATGCAGTATGTCTGCATTATTATGCCGTGCCAAGCATTTCGTCACACCACAGCAATTCCCAACATGTTGCATAAAGGTAGCGCAATTGCTTTTTTTTTTTTTTAACCAACTTATTTTCTCCATTAAGGTGAATTAAAAAAAAAAAAAAAAAAAAAAAAAAAAAAACCTTCCATGATCACCTCCTCCCTCCTATCTTGACCCAGCACTGTGCCAGAACACTGCTGCTCTTTTCTCTCTCTCCTCACTGGACACGGAGGCAGCAGTGAGCCATTGGCTACAAATTCCAGAAATGACACGCCCATGGCCCAGCCATTGAACACATGGGAGCCAAAGTGGTCAGATCACATGACCAGACTGTAAGAGTACAGTCTTAGGCAGAAAAGGTAGGAGGGGGAGAGAACACTTAAAAATAGTTATGTTAACCTTTACCATCAAAAAGGAGTCATTAACAAACACCAGTGTGTCTAAGTAACACTTTTTTGCGCAACAGCATTCACTTGAAAGGGCTGCCCTACAAACAGCAAAGTAGCTCATGGAGCATGTCACCACATCCGGTATGTACATTTTAAGGGCTGGTTCACATCATAGAAACAGTCCTGATGTCTTTAACCACTAGCCTACAGGGCACTTATACCCCCTTCCTGCCCAGGCCAATTTCCAGCTTTCAGCGCTGTCACACTTTGAATGACAATTGCACAGTCATGCAACACTGTACCCATATGAAATTATCATCGTTTTTTGGTGACAGATAGAGCTTTATTTTGGTGGTATTTAATCACCTGTTTTTTTTTTTTTTCTTAAACCAAAAACCACTGAAAATTTTGAAAAAAAAAAGTTTTAGTTTTTGTTATAAAATTTTGTAAATAAGTGATTTTTCTCCTTCACTGATGTACACTGAGGCTGCACTAAAGGGCATTGACAGGCATCACTGAAAGGCAGCACACACGGCACTGTTAGGCAGCTCATATGGGCACTGATATGGGCATTGATGTGGCACTGGCAGATGGCATGAATGAGCACTGACAGCTGGGGCTGCACAGAACATCAGTGCCCTGATGATCAGTGTACATGTCCCCTCTGAGGAATGCCAATCACCGGCTCTCCTCTTGAGCTGTCAGCGTGACAACTCGTGAGGAGAAAAATTCCGATTACAGGCATTTTCCGATTTACATGTGATCAGCTGTGATTGGACACAGCTGATCATGACTGAGCCGACCTCTTCGGCTCTTTCCGTTGAGTCCGAGGGACAGCGCACTGCTGATTGCTCACAGAGACGCGCATGTGCGGTTAGAATGGGAGGACGTCATATTACATCCCTGCAGAATGAGAGAACTGCCTTGCGTCCGTCATTTTACTATATGGCGGGCGGGAGGCGGTTAAGCAAGTGTGTTTGACGCATTCTGGTGCATTCCCCCCCCCCCCCCCCCCCCCCCCCATTTTATTCTTCAATTTAAAGTGGTGGTAAAGGCTAAAAGGTTTTTTTTTTTACCATTATGCATTCTTGTGTGTGCTGCTGCCCCCACCGCCCCCTAATACTTACCTGAGCCTCCCTCATCTCATTGGCCGAGACAGCATCGGGAGCCATTAGCTCTCATTGCTGTCAATCACAGCCAGTGAGTGAATTGGGAGAGAACAGGGGGTGGGGCTGAACCATGGCTCTCTGCGTCTTATGGACACAGTAGGGTTCGAAAGCGAGCACACACCATGGCCCCCATAGCAAGTCGCTTACTATTGGTTGCACTGGTCAAGAGGGAGGAGCCAGGAGTGCCATTGGGGTAACCGAGAACCAGTGCTGCTCTGTACAAAGCCATTGCACAGAGCAGCCAAGTATGGCTTTTTTCTAAAAAAAAAACCAAACCTTTAGAATCATTTTAAGGGTTGGTTCACACCATATGCAGTCTAGTGCATATTCTGCATCAAAAACAATGGAAAGTGTTTAACGCACAGCCTCTTCACACCGGTGCAATCAAAAGTAAAGCACGTAGCATTCTTTCTGTGTGGTACATATCTTCAACAAACAAAAGCCATCAGAAAACACGTCCTCAGTTGGGGAAAAAAAATAAAATAAGCACACATATAAATGCATCTGGAATGCAGGAATTGTGGCGTGAACTGGCTGTAAATAAGAGTGCACTTTACGTTGTAGTACAGTTCAGAAATAAAATGCAGCATGTTCTACTTTTTCCCTAGAACTTGCCACATTAGTGTTAACTATTATTTCAGGTACTTATATAGTGCCGTCAATTTACACAACACTTTACATATATATTGTACATTCACATCAGTCCCTAACCCTCAAGGGGTGTACAATCCAAGGTCCCTAGCTTACATTCATACATACACATACTAGGGCCAATTTAGACAGGATCCAGTTAACCTACCAGCATGTCTTTGGAGTGTGGGAGGAAACCCACGCAGGCACAGGGAGAACATGAAAACTCAAGGCAGGTGGTGCCACGGTTGGGATTCAAACCAACAACCTTCGTACTGTCAGATGGAAGTGCTCTCTATGCTACTGAAAACCGTAGAACATGCTATCCATGGATTTTTTTTTTTATGCAGAAAAACTGGACTGCATGTGGTAGGAAGCAGCCCTCAACATGTTTTGTCACATTATTATACAGGATTTATATAGCGCTGACAGTTTGCTATATGAAGGGGGACAGTACAATACATTTCAGTGCAGAAGGAATGTGAGGGCCCTGCTCATGGAGCTTACAATCTAAAGGAAGGGGGAGCTGGTATAAAAGATGATCACTGTGGGGGATGATCTAATGGAAGTGGCTCAAGTACAGTTCTTAAGTGGAGGTAGGGTAGGCTTCCCTGAATAGGTGAGATTTCAAACACTGTGTTGGGGCTGACTGGACATACTGGGGTACGGAGTTCCAGAGGATGGAAGAGGCTCTGGAGAAGTCCTAGGAGGAGGTAGCGCAACATGTCTGGAGAGAAGCAGGTGATTTGGACAATATCTGCATTTGAGATTGGTGATGTAGCTCGGGGCAGTGTTAACAAATTGCCACGTCTGGGGTCCTATTAATGGCACCACAAGCATGATGCGTGTTCTTCATGGGTTCAGAACACAAGGGTGTGAATGGGGCATAGAGCAACAATTTAGGGGAACTTTCAATTAAGTTTATTAAGTGACCTGAGCACTGCAGCATGGAATCACACTGCCCCCCACTGGACACACCGTGGAGGAGCACTACACATGCTCCGCAGTCACTGCTCCCCATACAGAGGTGAGGCCTGGGCCTGCAGACTTTCCCACCAGCCGAGCTCTGTAGAGATCACAGGGCGCCGCACCACATGGACAGTGCGACTTGGGAGGGTTACCTATATCAGGAAGAAGATGGAGCCACAGAAACTATGTAATGCCCCTCTGCGGATGAGGCGAGAGCGTCCCCTACATGGGCAGCAGTGTGCTCTATAAACCTGCCCCCACCCCCTCAGTATCCCAAGCCCCGGACAGCTCACACACACAGCCGGCGGCCATTGCGCCCCACACACGGGAGACTCCCAGTCACACACAAAATGGCGGCGGAAGAGGAAGCAACGCGGAGAACACGCGGCCTGCCTCCTCCTCACATACGGCCTGTGATAGCTTCTCAGCTACTCCCCTGCGTACTATACCCCGATAATAATACACACCAAACCGTACGAGGCTCACATGTGGCCTACACACAGAATCTTCGTTTACGTGCGGCCCCCGTACTCCCCACACTCCCCGCCTTATCGGGAACGCCGCGCCCTGAACGGCTGCTCCCGCCCTTCCTTCCCGCTACAGCCGCTAACTAACTACGCCCGCGGCCTAACATTCCGCCAACTTACCACTTCACTCACTTCTCTCGAACTGCTGCGCAACAAAATGACCGCGGACAAAGAACGTGAGCGCTTTAAATAGGTCTGACGTCATCTCCCCACAACGAGGCTGAGGACCCGGATTTCAGCCTTCAGTGACATCGTGTGTGTGCCGCCTGTAGGGGCGCTGTGCGCCATGAAGGACTAACCTATGCAGCCCACACGTGTAATTAGGCACAACGAATCTACGGGGGAGGTCACTCAGGAAACATGGTCCCGTATACAGAGGAATGAGATCAACAGGGCCAGTTCACACCACGTGCAGACCAGTGCGGGTTTTCTGCTTCAAAAAACGCTTTGGAAAGTAGATTATATGGTTTTCATTGGCATAGTTCACCCACGGCAGTTCCAAGAGAAGTGGAACATGCT